TTCCTCTGAGATGGAATAGAATTAGCTTGTGCATTGAGGATGTTAAGAGAATATAAAACTTTATTTTCTGTTTGGCTTATGTAGCAGGAGGCTGGGTGCTCCTGCTACTTTAAGAAAAGGCAGGTGGCATGAGAAGCAGCCAGAAGGTGTGGAAGGGGCCAATTAAAAGTCATCTGAACAGAAAGGAACCAGGCTTCAAGCATATAAGACCAGGGCCTGAGTCAGTCAGGCTGTTTAGTCCTGAGAGCCATGAAGAGAGGAGCTCCTGGACAGCAGGGCTCCAGGTCAACATCTGGGCTGGGGTAAGAAACACTGGAGGTTTATGGTCAGAACTAAAGGGTGGAGGAGGTCCTAATAGACCTGTGAATGGAGAGGCCTGGGAGCAAGGGCTGCTGAGCCCATAACCCGAAGTGGGTAGAAACAGGTCTGGGAATAGAGTGGCCTGGGAGATAGGGCTAGAGAGCCCATAGTCTGAAGAAGGGCAAGAGAAAGCAGAGAACCAGAGCAAAGAAGCAAGGATGGCCAGAGTGCCCATGGTTTCAACTGGCCTAGGAGTCGGGGGAAGGGACAAGGGAGACCGAAGGTCAGGGACCACTGCTGGAAACTGAGGGGCTAGATGACCCATAGCCCAGAGAGAGGCATAGACAGGACAAGAGAGCCCAGAGATTAGGACTGAGGGGCTGAAGCCCAGGAGGGGTAGAGATAGGAGCCTGAGAGGGCAGGATGCAGTGCCTGGGAGTAGCCCACAGAGGTGAAGTACCTGGGTGGGGAGTGCAGGCTGGGATGCTGTGGTTGGGAATAGGTGTAAGAGGTGGAGTGCCCAGGTGGAAAAGACAAGCCTGGAAGCTACACCCTGGAGTAGCAGAGCTAGGTGAAGTGCCTGTCCAGGGAGGCCCAGTCACAGGGACTGAGGCCATGCCTAAGGGTGCTGAAGCTTGATAACATCTGTGAGCCATGGGTGTGATATAAAAAGTGCTTGGAGCCAAGTTATAAGTCCATAAGATGAAGTAGAGACACCTGAATACCAACATGGGATCAAGGATTCCCTTAGGCAGCCTCCCTTTCTAAATACCTAAGAACAACAAGGTATATCAGGCAAGGTGAAGGGGAGTAAGCCTGAGGAGTGAGGGCAGATCAGGGGCTGAGTGGCTGCCCAAGGGCATCACAGCCATGCCTGGGACCACTTCTTGTTACAATTTAATACAGTTTTAACAATCAATTGTGTTGAGCCACAGCATTTGTCAGGTGTCCTGATCTAAATAACAATGCATTTCTAGTGAGGACTCCTTAAAACTAATCACTGATTGTTTCAGTGATTTGCCAGGGTCTGTGCTGGTTGACTTTCAGAGTATAGCTCATAGCATGTTTGTTCACAAAGTATTTGTCTGACAGCAGTATGTCTACTGCTCTCCACTTACTTGAGTGGAAGATGTATGCTTTCTGCAAATCTAGGATTTGGCTAAATCAAAACCTCTCTGGCTTTAATGAGCTTTTAGGATCCAGCTCTTAGAAAAATGGATATAGTTATCTTTTTAAATAATTTCTTTAAATTAACAGTGTCCTGTATCTGAAAAGCCTGTTTTGGAGTTTAGCTGAGGATAAAAAAACTTTTTTCTTTTTTTTTCTTTACATCAGAGGTTGGTAACAAATGTGAAAACTCTCTAGCTGTGGCAAAGTGTAATACATTTTAATTAATACATTTTAATTAATTATTGGTATTAAATGTATGTGCACGCAAAGGCTTGCGAAATGCACCATTTTATAAATATGCAAATTAAGGAACAAATAAAGAAAAACAAGTTAATTTTAAAGCTGACCTCTTATTTAAATATAAAACATTAAAATATTTCTGATTTGCTAAACCAGCAGAATGAAAATTGGTTTGCAACATCTAATGTACTGACTACCTGCTGCTAGAATTGCTACTGACCTCCCTTTCAGCAAAATGCCCATTCCCATTTACAGGCTCAAAGAATGCAAATCCTAATGAGCACTTTTTTACTTGCAAAACTATTTAACAGTTCACTCAATAAGTACTTCTCCTTTTATGACTTTTTAAACGACAGAGAAAAATCTGTTCTGTATTCCCTTTAAGACAGCAAATAAAAGCAGCTTTGCATAATGTTACATAACCTGAATGTAAATACTAGGGAAGATTAAGATGTTAGGGCAACATATCTAATAAATACCTTTACAGAATAGAAATGAAAGGGCAATTAATAAAAAGCATCCTACGTAATGAATTGGAACAAGCTGTATAGAGTATCTATATTGAACTTCATGTAGGTTATCCTAGAAGGTATGTGCAGAGACTAACGAATAGATATCCGGTTTTTGTAAATGGTATAAAGCATTCTCATACAGGACTGTTAAAATTCTGATCCCTCTCAATGGCTGTAAAAAAAGGAGATTACAAGATCATCTCAAACAGCTGAGCAAAAGTCTTTTGGTTTCTCACTGACCATTTTTAGCTATTATGTTTCTGACTAAAGCTTCATCTGAGCTGAGTTTTGCTGAAACAAAAATTACACAAAAGAGAAGAGGACTTTGAAGAGGTTTAAACTAACTTTAAGAAACTAAACTTAATTAATATTCTCATCCGATCAATACTACAGACACCCATGTATAAATCTGTAGGCTATTCGAGCCATTTAAAGGCAACCTTGAGTATATGAACATATAATCTTATCCTGTACAATAATTTCATCTAGATAAAGCTTTGTAACATGCACCAATCTGCATCAGCACATCCTGCACATGTAAACTGCTGTTCCTGAATTTCAGCAAAAGTACTCACGCAGCAGAAATATAAGAATTCAATAATTCTTGTCTTACTTATTAAAAGTGCTTACCTATAGTACTAAAGATATACCAGAGAACAGCAATTGATCTTGCACCATTTTAGTTAAGTCAGCAATATATTAAATACATAAAGGAGCCCAATTTCATTACATACAGGAGGGGTCAATTGTCTGCAGGTGGCATCTGCCAGCCTTTGGATACTACATTCTGCTATAAGAAATAGTTTAAGCAAATTGCACACACAGTACTGGCATGTTTCTGGATGAAATACTTGAAGTTACATCACACAGATCGTTCCTTGAAAGGCACCTTGAAAACAACTTCTGTGATCTCAGCCTCACTAACATACATGCAGCAATGTTAAACTTAATGGGAATCAGCTTTACTCTAAGTTCACACAAGTGTAGCTGAGATCAGAGTATGATTCTGTAAGGCATGTTTTCAACAGGGGGTGCGCGCACCCCTGGGGTTACTTGGGTACTGGTGGGATGCTCGCCGATTGGCTGCGGGGGACCCTCCACCCTGGTCACCAATCGACCACTGGGGGACCCCTTCCTCCGCTCATCTGGCTGCCTGGGGACTCCTACCTTCTTGACCGACCACCGGGGGTATACTGACCCAAAAAGTTTGAACCCCTGCTCTAAGGCATAAACAGAGGGGCGGAGGGAGAGGGGACACAGTGCAGGACAGAAATGACAATAGGGACAACTGCCCCAGGCCCTAACCTGAGGGAAAGGGGCGCAAAGGAGAAGAAAATTGGCTGCTGCTGAAGCTGCCATATTTGTGATGTTCCAAGTGCCTGGGCACATTCTAGCATCTCTAACCATTTCCAAGAAAGATGGTGAGGTAGGTACTAGCTGGCCACAGCAACTGCATATAGGTTCATGTTCAAAAAGAGAGATTGGTGTATCCAGCAGAAATAGATTAAAGCATTTAGCCTTTTAGATATAAGATTACGTACTCCATTTTGCCACAATACTATATATTATTTCCATTGGGAAGTTTTTTGAGTTTAGAGGATTTTTTTTTTATTTTTTACTAGGGGACAAAAAGAAAGGCAGATCAAAGTATTCTCTCAGTGAACCTAGTGCAGCTACACTGGACTCAGTGGTGAATATGTGGTTGGTATACCTAGGAGAAGAATTTTGTCCAGTGTTATTTGCATGAGCTGAAAAAGGAAACAGACTCACAGAAGCATATAGGTAGAAGGAAGCATTTCCTTTCCATCTGCTACATCAGTAGATTTGCATATCAGAAGGTAGAGACATAATGGTTATTCAGCAGACCCTTTAGGCAGGGACAGACATTACACATAAACCAGTTTAAGTGATCAGAAATTGGTTTAAACCTGTAACAGAACAGATATTCAGTGCACATAAACCAATTTGAAAATGACAGAAATCGGTTTGAGATAAACCTGGCTGAATGTAGTATCAGTCTTAACTGATTTTGGTCAAACTGTTAACGCAATGTCTGTCCCAGACCTTAAGGACTGCAGCAGCTCCTAATGCACAATATCCAAAGATCCCAATAAAGGCCAGAAACAATTACTTGGAGCACTCATACACTTAGATTAGGTAGTAGTGTGGCCCCCAGTATCTTGGACTCAAGAGGCCGAAAAGAAGAGGCCAAAGTAAGAGAGACCATGGCCTGGCCAGAGGTGTTAGGTAGAGCTGGCTTTTAGGTTCCACAAAGCTGGAGGCTGCAGGCATTCCTAATTTAGGGAAATAGGTATTTAAAGATTCTCCCCTCTTTTAAAAATATGTTTTATACTATTCTTTTTTGCAATTGTCTGTGAGACAGGCTAAGTGCCAAAGGCAACAAGGAAAGGCAGAAGGGGGGAAAAGAGAGATGAAAGCATACTACTGTACTACTGACATGTTCTTTGCTTGCTTATTAGAATAAATGTCAGTTATCTCCAATGAGCTGCCTATCTAGCTATTATCAGTTGATTAATTTCTCTAAGAGTTATGGTCTCTGTCGAAGGATTTTAGAGAGGGGAGGACAGTATCCTTCTGTACTGGTTTGGGGAAGTTCTATGTATAAGGTAGGCTGAGTTACTACATACTAGGTATAAGATAAGAATGAGTGAAGATACCTCTGGAAGAATCACTTAAATCCAGCTCTGCAGCCAGTATCATTGGTAGAAAGATGACACAGTGAGCCATGACAGAAGAAAAAGAGTGGGCACCAAAGCGGGATGCAGTTGTTAAGGCCTCTGATGGTGAGAACAAAGGGCACCAAATTGATGGGTTGGAAAATGGGCAGCCATTGGAAGGGTGCATAGAAGAGGCAGATAACCAAATCAACCTAAAGGTGAGATTATGGATGAGATTGCACATTAGAGTTAGCAAGTGCTAATTCTAAAGTACATTAGTCTGTGCTCAGGTTTACTAGTGCTAGTGACAGTCATCCTCAGGGTTAATAACTTCTCTACTGTGCTTTGCTCAGGCCTACTGCTACAGGGCTGGCCAGTAGAGGCACATAGGTAAGGGCTACAAGTCTGCTTCATGCCTTCCCTGCTTGCCAGCTCTCTAGCCACAGTGTAGGCCAGGGAGGACATGGGAAGCCCCCTGGCTCCTTGGATCTCTCCCTCTGGTCCCCATATTAGCTCATTCCCCGCATCAACCCCTGGATCCCCCTTCCACCCTGTAATCAGCCCCTCCACCCCCTGATCCCTTCCCTGACTCCCTCACAGATTCATCGATTCATAGATGCTAGGGTCGGAAGGGACCTCAGATCATCAAGTCCGACTAGGCAGGAAAGAGTGCTGGGGTCCGATGACCCCAGCCAGATGCCTATCCAGGGTTTTCTTAAAAACCACCAAGGTAGGGGAGAGCACCACCTCCCTTGGAAGCCCATTCCAAATTTTGGCCACCCTTACTGTGAAGAAGTTCTTCCTGATGTCCAGATTAAATCAACTCTCTGTCAGTTTGTGACCATTGCCAGTAGTAGCAGCAGGAGGGGTTCCCCCTCCCTGCCTGCTCCAGGGGTCCCTGCAGCCAGTGCTGCTACTGTGCACCCAGATCCAGCCCCCAAGAGGCTCCACAGCTACCTGGCAACTCCTTTTCTTCCTGCCTGCCCCCCTCCCCTTCACCTCCTCTTCAGTTTCAGGGCCTGGCAGGAGCAGATCTGGGTGCATAGTGATGGCATGGCCTGCAGGGACCCCTGGAGCAGGCAGGGAGGGGGAACCCCTCCACCACTCTCAGACTGATTGGGGTGATCCAGAGGTGGAGGGGGCAACTGGGGTAGCAGGGGAGTGATCTGGAGATGGAGAGGGTGATTTGGGGGCTGGGGGGAATATGAGGGGGCAGACACCTGGCAGCTCCCCACCCATCTACTCCCACCTTCCCCCTATACCTCCTCTTTCCCCCTTCAATCCTGCCTTCCTTCAGGCACCCGTCACCCTTCATATCTTTTCCCTCCCTCCTCACTTACACTATCCCCATTCCAGCTGCCAGTCCAGGGCCCTAGAGCCTTGGATAATAGCTAGCCCACCTAGGAGCAGTGCCTTCTAGGACACTGGAGGACTACAGACTGGAGTTTTTATCTCAGGTGAACACCCAGCAGTTAAACTCAAGCTAGGTGGCACACTTAAAGATAACCTTAGCCTAAACTGATATAATTTAAGAAGCCTAATGGGCACTTGTTAATGAGCCTTAATGTGTGATCATACAAGTTTTAAGTGCTTATAACATCACCTAATAGTAATGTAAAATCACACCCTACAATTGCAAGAGATGTATCACTGGCTTGCAGTTTCTGCAGCAGGAGCCTCAGTGGGGCCTTAACATTGCAAACTTATTTGCTCTAATTATGTAACATGAGGCAAGTCGTTTCACTAGCCCTCTTCAAAATTATAACCGCCATGCACAGTAGTATCCATGTGATGAACAGGAATGGGTTACATCAGTTCTGCAAAATATATTACCAGTATTCAAAAGTTTTCCAGTAGGCTGTGCAAACCTCCTTAGTTTACAATGCTTGGTCTACCTTTTTGAACATGGGCTCAGGTTTTGAGAATAAACTGAATTCCAAACTGAAGGATAACTTCCTCAGAGTACAAAAGCTTAGCTGTGAAAAGATTCTTCTCTATTTTGCCAATACTAATGAGCCAAACTTAAGTCTTGCAGTGAAAAGCATTCTCTCCTCCTTTGCCTACTCCCCTCTCCAGCAACTCTCTGGGAATACCTCTTTTATTAAGAATTGGTTTACAACATTTTGAAGTTCTCGTCCACCCCAAAAGAGAAGTTTTGTTTGTTACCTCTTACCGACAGTTATTTTGACAGTTCTTTTCTGAGAGTCCATCCTCATCTTCTCCCATAATATCCACCGCTGAAAAAATCAGTGCAACCAGAATTGCAAAGCAGCATACCAGTGCAAAGATCACAATGCATCTTTGCTGGGACTGAAAGAGATTAAGAAGATTGAAAAATACATTAAAAAGTTTAAAGGAGTGGGTATCTTTTGAATTTCAAACTTTTAAATATGATCTAAAATCCTTTTCAACATCTTGGTGCTATAGCTGTCAATGTGAAACATGTCTTGAGCTGAAAAGATGCTTTCAAACCTGTCCTTCAGTATCACCTTGAGCTATACATTAAATATGTCAATTATTGTTAAATAAATCATGTCACAACACCACCAGGACTTTGTACTAGTTTCAGTCTCTTTGTACCATGATGAAAGTGCTGTCCATCAGCAGGGCCATTCCTGCATTAATTAGGTACTTCTGTTTCTGGGCCATAGGTTTTATATATACCAGGGCTGTGGTGGTCCATGGGCCACATGCAGCCCCAAAGGGGTTAAATTATAGTCCTAGGAGGAGAACCCCCATTGCTCTGGCTGCAGCAGCAGGAAGGGACTCCATGCTACCCTTCCCTATATCTTCCCTTTCCTGCCCCAGAAGACAAGGTAGGGTAGCACAGTTCAGACTTTGGTGCCCCTGCAGTCCAGGGTGCCTGGGTGGCATGGTGCAGGGGGAGATTTTGCAGCCAGGAGACTGAGGGTGAGTCAGGATTCAATGGGAAGGTATGGAGAGTCAGGCACCTGGTACAGATGGAAAGCATGGAGAGGAGCAGCAAGGAGGCATGTGGAGCGGGTGGGGGGAGGTGCATGATTCAGTGGGAAGCCATGGGCAGCAACAGTGGGGAGGTGCAGAGAGCAGCTGCAGAGGGCACACTCAGGCACTCGGTGCAACAAGGGAGGCATGAGACTTTCACTAATATGGTCCTAAGGGTATGCAGCCCCAGGTCTCTTAGAAGTTGAACAGCCCTGATATACACTAACAGATGGCACTGCGCAAGCCTTCAGAAGTTTTGTTCATTTGCTTAATTGAAATGAAATGTGTCACTGCCAAAGGACCAAGGAGCAAAATGCTGTTTAATAATCTTTTTCCTGTCACTATTTATAATACTTGGAATCATCATCATCACAATTATATCAAGGGACCTAATCATGGGTTAGGGCTCCAGTGCGCTAAATTACACAACCACAGAAGATGACATTCCTTACCTCAGAAAAGTTACAATCCAAGTATAATACAACAGACAACATTATAGACAGCCAGAGTGGAGAGCCCAAGGTAACACTGAGATAATATAGATCAACCATGATAGGCAGTGGGCCTAGCCTGTCAAATTAAACATTTTAAAAATTTGCATAGAATTTACTTTTATATAAAATAGGAAATACTGGGTACACCTACATGAGATGCTTTACTTGAAATTAGAACAAATTACTGTGCAGTAAGTGTCTGTACATGTAGAAGGTGACATTTACTGCACAGTAATTTGCTCTAATCGCAAGTAAATTTGCTCCCTGTAAATACAAGTAGCAAATTTACTCAGGAACAATTATTGAGCAGTATAGCACTTGTAGATTCTTGTCTCCCAGACTAGGGACAGACATTACACATAAACTGGTTTAAGTGATCAGAAACTGGTTTAAACCTGTAACAGAATAGATATTTAGTGCCTATAAACCAGTTTGAAAATGGCTGAAACTGGTTTGAGAGACACCTGGTTGAGTGTAATATCAGACTTAACTGATTTGGCTCAAACTAGTTTATGCAATGTCTGTCCCAAACCCTTTGCTGGTTTAAGTTAAATCAGAGTCCCCTAGAATCCTGGCATGCTCCCTGGGCTGGGCTGGGCTCTCTGCTCCTCAACAGGGTTGGGCCTGCCCTTCTGCTCCATGCACAGACTTGCAGGCACAGCAGGGTCTGCTGGCTTCCCTGTGACCCCTTTCTCCCCCCTCCTTCCCCCCACCACTCACTTGAACAGAAATCCCTTCCTCCTCTCTGCCACAGCAGGGACCATAGTCAGCATGTGGTATGCTAGCTAATACTAAGAGATTTTTGTGTGTGTCTCTCTCTCCAATTTCACTGGGATAGGCAGACAGAACAGTGACCCCTTAGGGCTTTTGAAGCTAATCAACAGGTCAGCCTGAAAAGCAGTTTAAAAAGTTTGAAGTAATGTGGAAAGAAGCTAGTGTTTTGCCAATTGGGTGATAAAGAATGTTATCATCCCCCAGGCTGTCTTGCTGGCCTATCAGTTTGGGGCAGACAGTATGAGGAAGCAGGGAGGGAGACTGAAAAACTCCGTATCATCAACAGAAGCATGCACTGTATACCCCCTTTGCCTTAGAGTGCTAGCCCATGGCTGGGAGTTAACAACTCTCCCACTTCTTGAACAGCCAGTGGGGAAAAGCCTGTGACTGTGCAGGAAGACCTCCTTAATCAGAGGTCCTGCTAGGGCCTGGCCATGCCCCCCTTAGCTCAGCTCCTGGCAGAAGAGAAGGGAAGGCTGTCTAGCACCCCCTCGGCTTCTAGTCTGAGCTACTGCAGACCTGTACCTGAATTGCCTCAGTCCAGAGAAAATGTCTGTCCAGTTTCAAACCAGTTCAGCCTATCCAGGTTAGACTAACCTTCAAAGATTGAATCAATTCAAGCTCAGGCTCTTTGAATGTCTGTCCATAACTGCAGCCTCCCCGCTGTGATCACAGAGCAGGATCTGGGAGCTCCCTGCTTCCAGGCCAGGGGAACTTTGTCTTTCCCAGGCCTTGGTGGTGGAGCTCGCTCTAGCAGCAGCCAGCTCCCAGGGCAGGTAGCAATCTCCCAGTCCCCACCTGCTCCCTGCCAGCCCCTAGGCTAGCACTCAGGGGGAGTCTAGAACTGGCTGCTGCAAGGGGCAAGTGTCGGGCTGGTGGGAGCAGAAACACTGCTGCCATAAGCAGCAAATCTGTGCCCACTTCCCCACATATGTAGACACCTGCCCCAGTTGGATTTACTCTAGAGCAAATTACTCCAGAGTAAACACACCCCAGAGCATTTGCACATGTACATGCGCCCACTTTGGTGGCAACTGAGATATAGTCATGTATTAAACTGGGGTAAATGTGAACCCGTTGAAAGGTGAGTTCTGTAGACTTAATTCACACAGATAAAAGGCACACATACATTATCTTATTCTGAAAATGGATTCTCGGGTATATCTGACATGTAAATATTATTATCCAAATTAAAACTGTACCATCTCTTTTCTAGAGGAAAAATGATTGTACAGAAATGTGTACAGAAAAAGACAAGAAAATTGACTTCTGTTACCAGTTATTTCGTTAACTTTCAATACTACCTTGTAATTGAAATGCCATACCTAGAAAATGCCAAAGCCAGAGGATATTATTTCCACAAATATGAAAAATTATTAATCTCATGCTTACTACTGAACAATGAAAACCTTCAGCTGAAAGAAAATAAATATTCTCTATACAATCTCAGATATTACATTAACAGAAATAGCAATATAACAATAACACAACCTCTACCCTGCTCTCACAAAGAGTTAGAATATGATTTGGACTCAACATTTCTGTATGAATGTATATCCAAGAAGGACTTTCTGCAAGTCAGCTGAGTAGCAAGTCAGCTATTCAGATCAAGAAGGTACACAGCATGGCACCTTCCAACTAACTCTACCTCTCTCTGCTCAGATCAAGCCAGCAAGCAGCTATGCTCTGCAGCTGCAGGGACTGAATTATAATGCCTCTTTAAAACTCAATATTCAAAGTCACTTTCAGTTTTCATCCTCAGAGACAGAGGGACAACTTTAATTGAGTTCAGTAAGAGCTGTAGCCTTTTATCCACTACATTATGATACATGCACATTTTAAATATTATGAACACTGCACAAATCATAAGCTTGACATCTGCTTTTTATGTTATAAACATTTCTTGCAACACACACTGTATAAAAACATACCAACAATGCAGTGCAGGAAAATATACTTCTCAATATTCTTGGATTAATTTCAGGCATACTCAAAATCTGTTCCTGAGGTAAATGCAATTGATGTAATGTTATGCTGCTAGCATATTCCTGGCAGTAGATTTCATAATGACTGCAATTAGTCCCAAAGATCATAGTCTGCAGCCAAACATGGACAGGAAATTAAAAGAAAAATATTTGCTTTGAGTAGATGGAAAGAGTAATCTCTACATTCCGATGCTAAAGAGTCATTCAGATCTGGGACAGGTATAAAACCTGTTTCATATTTAAAATTAAATTGTTCCTTTACTTAAGTTAAATTGGAGCTGATGAAAGGTGCATACTGACAGTCCTGAAAATTAACTCCCACTCTCAACTGAACAGAAACAACATTATAATTTCAAAGGGATACTCTGAGAATAAAAGTGACAAGGCTAATTCTACAGTGTATAGATGTAAATCAGGGGTATCTCTACTAAGTCAATGGAGTTATTCAAGATTCACAACAGATTTTGTCACCATATAATCCTTTTCATTTCTCAGGCTAGAAGCCAGAGAGGTTGCTAAATTGCAATCCACCAACCTGGGGCAGGGGAGCCCCTCTCTTCAGTCTACTTCCTATCACCTCCAGGACAGCTAATCTTCACTCATGTAATATCTGTACTAAGCTTCTTCACAGCTTATTCAATGTGTGTCCTACTATGCACATGTATGTGCCATACATAGGATCACAAATGTATCTCATCATAGCCTCCACTTCATTAACCTGTCTATTACTAACAAAGAGTATCACAGTAAATTTTGTGGACAAAGGACAACATTTGGAGAGAGCCTCAGGTCCTCCTAGAAATGTGTAGTCCCCTCCATTCTCCATTGTCCTAAATCCCAATTATCATGAACATATGGAAAATGTTAACTACGACTCTTGTGTCATAAATCCTCCAACCAGACACAAGAGAACAATTCCTTTCATTGGCATATATAACCAAACACCAGCAATAGGTGAGACAGGTAACACCTCAAGCTCCAGCCTGAGGAACACAAGGTACACTTTAACCAGCCGTTATCTGATTTTGAAATACGTGCCTGAATTTGCCTGCATTATCTAAGTGTGGTACAGTGCCTCCTTCACACTGTTTTATCCTAGCAAGTCTCTACCAGCTAATCTACACAATACAAAACAAAAAGGACAGGTTGTTTCGGGGTCCCCCCAGAGGGATGCTTGCTTTCGACCACTGCAAGCCTGTCTGGCCACTGAGAGTGCTCTGTCCCCTCCTTGCCCCCCAACCTCCCAAAGACAGCCCAGGCATGGCTTCTAGATTGGGGGCAACCCTGGCTCCTTCCACTCTGAGTCTTTGGCCTTCAGTCCTTAACCCTCCCTGGTTGTCTGTGACCTTGACTCAAGGGGCTAGCTACCTGTTCAGCTCCTGAGAGGAGTACTTTACCTCTTGTTGGGGATCTTGCATATAAATATGTTTATCCAAAAATACAGCAACTGACTGGAAGTATGACATGGCTCTTTGTGCAAATCTGCTACCTTATTACGAGTCTTCTCCAATTACTGCTTGGGCAGTGTTTGGCCCTGTGTTTCACTCATAATGCAATAACTTCATAATGGCATCAACAATATTATGGTCTACACAGATTATATTTATAATCTAGGGAAAAACAGTAGAAAAACATGACTCAAGGCTCTGAGAGCTAGAGCTGTGGGCCTAAAGTCAAACAAACAAAAATGTAAAATTTATGCAAAGGAAATGACATAGTTGGAAAAGAAGTTAACATAGGATTGCATACAAACAGCTGACAGCAATACTGAGGCCATCACCAACATCCCTACCTCAACAGATGGGGAAAGGGCGCACAGATTCCTTGGACTAGTGAACCATGTAAGGACATACTTACCTAATCTAGCTGAGTGAACCAGGTAGATTAGAGGATTATTGTTAAAAGACACTATGTGGGCAAGGGATCAAGATCTTCAATAGAGACTCAGATTTTTTTTAAGTAAAAGCAAATCCAGTCTTATGATATGACAATAAGCTCAAAACTAAGTTGTCCATGAACATGTCCAAGAGGAGGATTGGCACTGTTTTACAACAGGTTGGGCACTTTTACACATGACAGTTTAAGGTGTTTTAACCCAATTTAAGATGCATTAAGGCTAGGGACAGAAGTTATACATAAACCGGTTTAAGTCATCAGAAACTGGTTTAAACCTGTAACAGAACAGAAGTTCAGTGCACATAAACCAATTTAAAAATGGCTGGAACTGGTTTAAAATAAACCTGGTTGAATGTAATATGAGATTTAACTGATTTGGGTCAAACCAGTTTATGCAACTTCTGTCCCAGACCCCTTCCTGGTTCAAGTAAAATCACAGTCCCCCTGCATCCCAGCATGCTTGCAGCCCTGGGGTGGACTGGGCTGTGCTGTCTGCTCCAGCAGAGAAGGGTTGGAGAGGGGGGGAGGGAAGCAGTGACTGCCCCATCCAGACAAACCCCAGCTGGGGTCTGGGCCAGGGAGGGGGTAAACTCATTTTCACCCACGTACAGATCTGCCCTGCCCTGCTAAACTTACTGTTGACTGTGACTGTGGACTACAAATCCCAGAGGCACCTGGAAAGAGGAAGTGATAAGCAACCCTGCAGAGTCTTGCTGCTGTGATTGTGGACTGAAAATCCCAGAGACTTCAGGGGCAGCAGGAAGAGGAAGTAAACACACAGCTCAGGGTAGCTACATGCCAGGCAGCTGTGCTCTAGCACTTTTCCCCCACAGGATTTTGACCTGAGCCACTGCAGGCAGGTGGCTGCATTTCCTGAATCAAAAGTAAATGTGTTTCCAGTTGTTTCTCAGTTTAATCTCTGCATTTTAAACTAACATGCAAAGACTGAATCAATTCAGGCTCGGTCTTTACAACTGTCTGTACTTAGCCTAATGGTGTGTGTCTACATTTGCGTACCCTTAACTCGCCTTTAAAATGGCAATTTTTAGGCTATTCACATCTGAATTTGATACCTGTAAAAGCAGGTATCAAAGTTTGGCACAAATAGCTAAAGCCCATTAACGCATGTGTAGACACTTTAAGGCACATTAATGCTTTGTATGGATTGATTTGGGTCTAACTTTGGGCATTTGTATACATGCTTGTGCTGCAGAGCTGGGTACTTTTAAAAGTGCATGGTGCTGCAACACATGCATTTGTATAAATGGTGAAATGCACATCAGCCCTAAGAAAATGGCAGTGGCATGCTTTCGAACCAAAGCACATCAAGGGTGTTTTAGTTCAAAAGTGCATTGCCGCCATTTTCTCAGCAATGAATTTTGCTATTTATACAAATGTATGCACCAATTATTTTTTCAGCTACAACTGTATGGCTTCCAAATATAGATTTGATCACTTATATTTTCAGCTACAACAGTATGACTTGCAAATATATATATTTGGTGCTGTCATAATATAATATGCAAGTCATACAGTTGTAGCTGAAAAAATAATCTGTCTGCTAAGGCAGATGTTTGTCAGGGCTCTTTTGACAATGTAAATGAGGCTAGGTGAAGACATTACACTTTTACTGGTGTAAGTGATCAAAACTGAGAAATATATATATATGTATATATAATCTAGCCCTAAACAACTATAAGACAATCAGCCTAACCTCCATCCCAGGGAAAATCCTGGAAAAACTCATTAAAGAATCTATGTGTGATATGCTCATTGAGGGTAAGAATCTGAACAACAGCCAGCATGGCTTTGTCGCATGTAGGTCTTGCCTTACAAATTTCATTTTCTTCTATGAACAGGTCTCTTTCCACCTGGACATGAGAGAGAAGGTCAAGATTATATACCTAGACTTCCAAAAGGCTTTTGATCTAGTATCGCATGATATCCTTGTAGAAAAATTGGAAGATTGTGGGCTTAACTGTTCAACAGTTCAGTGGGTGGAAAACTGGCTGCATGGTAAGACCCAGAGAATTCTCATGAACAGATCTGTGTCATCCTGGCGAGAAGTGGCCAGTGGTGTCCCTCAGGAGTCCATGCTTGGATTGGTGCTTTTCAACATATTTATCAATAATTCGGATATGAGGGTGAAAAGCTCACTGGCCAAGTTTGTGGATGACACCAAGTTATGAGGGAGTGTAGTCATGCCAGAAGATAGGCTGCAGATACAGGCAGACCTGGACAGGCTGGAGAGCTGGACAGACCAGAACCAGATGAAGTTCAACACTGAGAAGTGTAAGGTGCTCCATCTGGGGGCAAACAATCCTCAACATACCTACAGCTTGGTGGTGACATTTTGACTTGCACCACGGCTGAAAGGGACCTAGGGGTAATGATTGACCATCGCATGAACATGAGCTGGCAATGCAATGCTGTGGCCAGCAGGGCAAACAACACACTGGCATGCATTAACCATTGCATCTCATGCAAAACTATGGAAGTGATACTCCCACTGTACTCCATGCTGGTGACACTTCACCTGGAGTACCGCATCCAGTTCTAGGTGCTGCACTTCAACAAGGACGTGGAAAAACTTGAGAGGGTCCAGAGAAGAGCCACCCATATAATATGGGACTTAGAAGACAAGGCATATGAGGAAAGGCTGAGGGACTTGGGCCTCTTCAGCCTACAGAAGAGAAGGCTGAGAGGGGGCTTGGTAGCAGCTTACTGCTATATCAGGGGAGTACATCAAGACCTCAGTGAACAGCTGTTCACCAGGGCACCCCTGGGGAAGACCAGGAGCAATGGATACAAACTCCTTGAACGCCACTTCAGGCTCAAGTCCAGGAAAAACTCCTTCACAGTCAGGGTGTCCAGACTGTGGAATTAACACACACCCCTGCAATTGTATAGTCCATTTGCAAGTCACGCATCTATAGTTGTCTGTCTGTCTGTCTGTCTGTCTCTTTATGTACATCTGATTTAAAAGCCTGTCAGATCCTGGACAAAATCTGGATTATGAATGCCATAAATATGATAAAAGAGGAGATTCTGAAGAAAGCAGTTAAGACATTAGCACAAGTTGTCTGGAACACTATATTCCAAGCCCTTATTTATCAGTGCAGGGGAGGTCTCAGTCCAATATTGGATTTTTGTTTAAAAGCACTAGGATAGCAATTCTCAGGACACACAGAAGTCATTTTAAGGATTAAAAAAATCTATTAGAAAGCCAGAGATGTTTTATACTGGCTTTAAATGAACACCGACACTGAGGAAGTTCTTAAGGCTTGTTAGATATTTAAAAAAGGTAGGCTAAATTAATCAAAAGTCTGGACTGTACTGGTGGCAGAAATAAAAACAAAGACACTTCCCACCCCTGCCTCCTGAAAGAAACCAGGCATAGATTTCCTTACATTGAAAAAAATATAACATTTTCTTACCCAATCACCCCAACTTCCCTGAGGTAGACTTAAAAGAAGATTCAACAGATAAACAAGTTATCAAATCTAATCTTGCTAGGCATAGTAATGTCTCACAATGGGTCACAACAGCATGTGAAATTGAGCCTATTTCAGTCAAGTATAGGTTTAGACATGACATTGCAAGTCCACATTGTCCCCAGTCCAGTCAGGTAGTAGAAAACAATGTCCAAATAAGAAACTATTACTGGAACTCAGATGCTGAAATAGAGTCTGATCTATATTTAGCTTTGTTAAATCACAGAACGGCAGCCATAACATGGATTGTCAACTGCCGACATTTTGCTCAATGCAAAACTGAAAACAAGAAGGCTGCACTGACGGAAACTGACATCAGATCCACTAATTCATATATATATGAATCACATAAAGCAAAACAAAAACTCAAGCTCTAGGTCCCAGGAACTGCCACCAGAGACATCAAGCGGTGGTCACAATGGTCATAATGAGATCTACACATTACAAGCATATGAGTAAGGCTCCTGCGCTGCAGCCTGGGTCAGCTCTATAAGGCTCAGGCAGGCTCCCACCCTGCAGCCCTTATTAAGTGCACTGACTCAGTTACTGATCAAGGCCATCTGACCCCCAACCCCTTGCTTCTGATTGGTTCTGGAGCTGCATTTAAGGAACTCCTCCAGCACCTGTGCCTGGCTGTACAACACATTGGTCTCCAGTCTCTGAGCAGCTTCTGCAGCAGCAATATCTTTGACTTCCCTGGTTCCTGACTCAGCCTTTGGCTTGCTCCTGGATTTTGGCCTCTCGATTCTCCTTGCAGTTCTGTTTCCTGACTCCCAATCCTAGTTTGGCTTAGCCAGACATAGATATTATGCTCTTTTACTAGTATAAGTGATAAGAAACTGGTCTATACCCATAACAGCTTCTGTTCAGTACACATAGACGCCATCTCAGTATGCATAGATGCCGTGACAGAATAATTTCTGTTCAGTACACATAGACACCGCTTACAGAAAACTTCGTAACTTAAATTGATTCCATCTCAGGCTTTTTGAATGTCTGTACCTAGCCTTTAGACTATGCCCTGTGGATTTTCCTTAAGATTTGGTAACTAGGTTTCTGATTCCCAGCTCCTGACTTGTGACTTCTAATCCTTACCCTTGCAACCCCCCAGCTCCATGCCAAACCAACCAGCCAGGTAGGCCATGAAGAACAGGAAGACTTGGCACCTTCTCCAAAATCCTAGGATAGAGCGAGATGCAGGCACTGATCCTGCTATTTTACCCAGGATTACAGCCAAGAGGCAACTGTAGCAGATTGAAAAAGCTGAACCCTCAAAGATTACACAATCAGAATGAATGGACTGACCACCTCCACCATTACCACTGACGTTTCAGGTGTGAACTGTTGGTCCATGTGCCAATGCAAGGCACCTCAAAGACTGACTGACGGTTACTACCTAGTTTTGATTGTATGTAGGTGAAATTGTTAATGTTAATTCTTAACTGTTACAGTTGCTATGTTTGTCTGAAAAGGATGATGTTAGGCACTGTCCTTTTAAGAGGCTCTGCATGAGCCAATTGGAACTGGTTGTGATTGCTGTGGAGAGGCTCATGTCATAAAATACCAAGCTGTTAAACCACAGACACAGAATGGAGGATACCTCTGCCATTTGATTCCTTGCCTCTGACTGACTCCTGAACACTTGGAAGGCTAAGCTCAGATTGAGAAGAGTTAAAATGACTTCTGCCATATCCAAACACTAGTGTTTCAAAGAGGAAGGAGAAATGCACTTCTCACTCACATTGCTGATCCTGGAAACCTGAAAAAAATGAATATATGCCTTGGTTTCAGTCTCCCTACAATTTTTTAGATGTCCAAACTGCACACAAGACTCCTGAGTGACTGGGCCCAGAGAGGTTCTAACAACTTCCATGGGAATCTGTGACGGTGCAGGTATCTGCACTGGACTATCTGACTGCTGCCTTAACATCCCAGAAATACATTTGTAAAAAGCAGTAAGTGGGAAAACAGGATTAAAGTCCCTTTGGTTTTGTTCCATCTGTCTGTAAGTAATCATACCCCTTTTTTCATTTTTATGACCCACAGCTGGCTGCGAGTGCCACGGTATTAACAGCATTAAAAGGACCAATGCTACCCTACCAATGCTATGATGAAGAGAGAGTTATCACAATTTAATTTACAAATCATCACTTGCTGTACTTTGTACTTTGCTTAGGAAATACAAATAAATTAGACATTTTCCTGTGCTTTGAGTTATTTTCACTTCTTCCATGGCAATATTTGGATTACAAATAACATTGGGGACAATTTAAATTCCAACAAACAAACAATTATATTTGAAATCATCATCTTTGTTTCTAACAGAAAAAGAGAAATTTCAAGTCAATTACATTTTCACACGGTTTTAATTGCCAGCCTGAATTAACTGACAAGGGCCTTTCAAACAGCAGAGCAGGTTTTTGAATGTTCTTAGAAAAGTCTGGAACAGCCATCTTGGAATTGCTCCCTCTGAGCAGCAAGTTCCTGTGGCTCCATCTTAACCTTTCAAATATAATTCTGCAGTACAAATGTCTATATGAACATTGCCTGCATTTCAATGATTCAAAAGAACAAAACAATTGGAAAAAAAGATTCAAAAGCAGCTGCAGCATAAGCAATCACTGCACTAAAGGAACAAATGCAAGACCACGGAATTCAGCAGGTCTCCCAAGCCTTCCATTGAAGCTAATTACTCTTAATTTTCAAATACAAAAGCCATACTATAAGCAATTTTCTAGTAAGCTATTAAAATTAAAAATATGCCCCACTGCAAGAAATCTAATGATCTTTTGGACAATGGTCTTTTGGACAATTTTAAAAAATGACTGTAGATTTCCTAAGAAGTATGAATTTAAAAGGACAGGCAAGAACTTACACTATAAGGACACTGGAGAGAAACTGATTGGTGCCAGTGGATAGCAGCAGAGCATTTGCTTGCTTAGACAGAGATCAATGTTGGGACTATCAGCCTTTTGAAAACTCCAACTAGTACAGGACATTGCCGCAGATTGTTCCAGTAACTTCATACAATGAGAGTGCACCAGGCCTTTGGCCTGCTGCCTTCACTGGTTTCCTAAGGTGTACTGACTCAAATTTAAGGGTTTGCACCTTATCATGAAAGTGATAAATGGGCTGACCCCACGCAAGGGCAGATCAAGGAGGGTTCTGTGATGCTCTTCCAAGAGCTCCAACCTTGGCTACTGAACATACGCATAGTGAGCTCTCCACAGCTGCCGCACACCCCTTTTTGCCATCCTGCTTCTGTTACTAGTTCCAGGATATCTAACATATCAAATAATGGGGTCATCAACTCTGGGAAGACCGCCACTATTGTCAGTTCTACCTTTGGCAACATGGAACTCTCTACAGTAAGGATAACAGGTTGTCTGTGTAGGTGACAGTGTTTTCTTGGGAGCCTGTATGGGCCTGTGAAATGAACTCCCAGAGAAGCACTAAAGATTTTCATTAATTTTCCTACTTTCTGCTCCACATACTCAGGGAGTTTCTTCACAGCTGCATAGCTGATCTAATAAAATATATCACCCTACAAAATCTTTCTCTCACCTCTAATTTAAACATTTGACTGAATTTACGTACATGCCAGTATGAACATTTAGATAAAAGATCTCCAGACACAAATTTTTCCTGCAACAAAACATTACACTGCACTCCACTCTCTCCCTAGGAACAGAATGAGAGAAAGAACAAAACTATACAGGATACATATTAGACATGTAATTTAACACAGTGGCACAAGAAAAGAAAGTCATCAGCTGACAGGCACTTTATCTGTATATTCATTATTAATAAACAAAACCAAATTTAATATCAGCTAAGGTGGTATCAGAATGTATCCCACCTGTTCAAAACCTAAAATATGTCAAGGGGAAATTAAATAACTTGCATTCTTTGCCATATTCATATTGTGTATAATGCCAGCACACAACTCTCTTCCTCTGTTAAACTTACACTTTCATTTCCAACAGACATCCATGTATTCCAGCTTCATCAGGTCTGTGTTGTCATTTAAAACCTTAATGGTGATCTCATATTTTCTGATCCTTATTCTATTAACAGATCAGTGTTTCTGATAATCATGTGCTTCATTTCTTCTGGAAGCAGTTCTCCATTAATCCACAGTTTCTCTTCTTTCTGAAGATAGCGTTTAATGAGAAATTTTGTGTGGCAGAGGAAATCTCAATTTCAGTAGGCTTGGGAAAGCTTTAAATATATATATTATATATATTTACATCAATTGCAATTTTCATATTAGATTTTTTATTTGCCTAGAAATTATGGATGAGTGCATTTAAAAATAAATCTAAAGAAATGAGTATTTGTACCATCTGGCATAGTTAATTAGTCTTGATACATAGTATTTATTCATCTAACTTAACTCATCCCTGAAACAGATTAAGAGTTCCTGCAAAATGAATTTTGGAAATGATCTTTAAAATATACAGATGTGCCCCTCCCACCCCCAAAAATAAGAAGTAGGATATTAAAAGACAATATACAAAAAAGTTAACCTTGAAGTAATCAAATATCTTGAACCTGTGAAATGCACCTCTGCTTGTATATCTGTCTAGATGACAGGATGACATGCTATGCAACATGTTAACAAAGACCTGACACCTCATTTACTCACAGGACTGTGAGAGATGACAGGAATATATTTTCTGTATTTTAAAGCTGCATCCAGACGAGCAGGGGCATGCACTTGCAGCAACACAAATTTGTGCCACTACTTTATGCCACAGTGCAAGCCCCTGCACATGCACTTAGTTGCAGGACACATTGTCCTGCTGTGGGCAAATCGCCCATGTCCAAGCTCCTCCCAGCTCCCATCCTGCTGCTCCGACCAGGCAGGGAGAGAAGGGGAAGGCTAACTGGAGCCCCAGGGTGTGACAGCCAGCTGGGGAGCAGCACATAGAGACAGGAAAGCAGATAGCCCAGGTCCACTTCCACATTGCTTTAAAATGGCAAATGTGTCAATAAAACATTGCCCAACTGAGAGAGAGAGAGATTAGGGCCGGGCAAAATTTTGCCAGGCATTTTGTTTCAAAGTTGTTTTGATGTGTTTTGAGCTTGAAACAGCAAAACTTAAATGAAACAAAAGCCTTCAAAACTGCTTTGAAATGAAACAAGGGTGCTCAAAACATTTTGAAAGCTTCAAAATGGTTTGGGTTTCAAAGCTGGGCTTACCTGGCTTCAGCGCCAGTCCCAGCCAGCAGCAGCAGCCACCTGTCATCCGGCACATCCCACCTGCACCCCCAGGAGGAGTCCGGCACAGCCCCACAGGTCTCCCAGGGGTGTGGGTGCCTGGATCTGTCTGCCAGATGACAGCAGGCTACTGCTGCCAGCAAATGACACTTTTTCTTGTCAACAACTTGAGGTGTAGTTTTCCAGAAATCTCTGCACTTACCTCCTTGACACTTGGCAGGCTTCATGCCCTCAGAAGGGGCTACCATCCCTGCAAGTTTCACCTGCATCAGACTAGAAATGACCATGCTATAGGCAGTTTCATGCTTCCCCATTATAGCCTATGGGTGAAACATCAAAATAGCGATGAAACAGCGAAAGTGTTTCAATGGAACAAAACAGAACAGTGCTTTGAAAACAAAGAAAACTTGAAATGAAACACTGTTCCATCGAAACGTCGAAATGGAAGTGAAAGCAGAACAGTGCTGTTTCGCACAGCCCTACTACATATAGAGTGATGTTTCATTTTAATCATGGAAGAACACAGATTTTGAGGTATTTTAAAGAGTGAATTTGAAATTTTTTTGTAAGAGAATTTACAGTTTTTAAACAGGGAACACTAGGATCCCCGTTGGTGAAACAAGTGGCAGGACCCAGGCAAAAGAACCTGCCCAAGGCCAGCACCAGGGACCCAGCTGGATGACAAATGAGGTGCCTGAACCCCTGGTCATTTGGGGCCAGGAGGACATGTCTGACAATTCAAAGTGGACCACCACTATCAGCACATCTTCTAGGTGATAGCTGCCTAGATGGCAGGGCGGGGGCACACATGGCAGCAGTGCTGCACAAAGACTAACTGTGCAGCCACAGTCCATTGGCACCTGACCCAGAGGTGCAGATGGTTCTGCTGCAGTGCCTATGCCATAGCCCAGGCAATCATGCGGGCCCCATCCAGATCTGGCAGGTACACAGCCATGGGGCTGCAGTTTCAAGTAGGTAGATGTTCTCATAGGTGGCAGCAGGTCACAGCCAGGCAGTAGCCCCCACTGCCAGACTGCTGCAGTGGATAGAGGGTGCAGGAGCCACTTTAGGTCAAGGCTGCTACAGCAGTCCAGCTGGCACAGGGGGGTAGTGTCCCCATATGTCAACTGGCCAGGCCTCAGAAGCTCCTGAGAACAACTAGACCTGAGCTATCGCAAGAGAAGTTTTTTATACTGCTGGGGCCAATGTAGGTGCTGGCCCCAGCCTTCAGCTACTCCTGGCTGAAGATCCAGGAGGATCTGGGCAGGGTCAGTTTCTCCCAAGTGGCACAATTTGCCCCACACCAAAGTGTATGTTCAGGCACATGTGCTGAAGCACAAATCTCCAACACAAATTTGTGTCGCTGCTATTTGAGCTGCTACAAGTGTACATGCCTGCATGTGTTGATGCACTCTATGGCCACATCCAGATGATCATGGATGTTTGGTTCCCTGGGGACAAGTAGCAGCAGCACACCTCGGGCCGCAGCTACTTGTCCCCAGGGAATGCGCATACCACACATGTTTTGGAGCATGTCAAGTTACCCCGGGGGCAGTAGGGGAGGGCTGGGGCCAGCACTGTACTGGCCCCAGCAGCCTTACCTAGGGTTCTGGGGGCCTCCCAGGGCTGCAACAGTGGTAATCCTGCTGGGTGGAGCCTGGCTGACAAGCACAGAGTGGTTCTAGGAAGCACAGCTTTGCTTTTCAGTGATTTGCCCTGCCCATGGGTGAGCTGCTCCTTTTTTATTCCTCGTGGGGTTTTTTGACCCCTGGATATTCAGGGGTCAAAAATGCCTGTGGAAAATGAAACTGGAGCAGTGCACACATGGGCAGTGTACCCTTGCAACAAGGAGAACACCTGACTGTACAGTATGTAGTGCTGCATTTGTGTTTGCAGTGCTGCGCACCACACAGCCCCACTCATCTGGACACACCCTATATGTCTGCATTTGTGGACATGATGTAAGTAGCCTGCTGTTTGCCTCCCCTGCATGGATGGGTATGGCTGCAACCACAACAATCTGTGTTAAATATATTAATTGAAATGAGAACAGCCATATAAGTACCTAGTTAAGCATAAACAAAGCATTTTAAGGTCTTTAAAATTCAGTTTATGAAAAGGGATTGCAAAGGATTGTATGACATCCTGCTCTGCAATGGCAGAGGACTAGACTCACTGATCCAGGACGTCTCTTCCTATGTTCCTAAGAAGACAGCGCAAGCAGAAAGTAGGATGGCCCTGTTCATCAGCATTTTAAATATCTGTTACAGACATAACTCTGTAGAGACATTCTCCACCAACAGGATATTATGCATCTAATTAACGCTCTTTACTCTGACACTCATCCTGTCTAGATGCACTCATTGATATTCATTAACACTGCAATTACCATTTAGCATGCCCAAATCCAATTGATTTCAACTGAAAAAAAATTGGAATTAGGTGCCTAAATACCTTTAGAGGTCTTTGTGCTTCAGATCACCGCCTATAAAATGGGGATAATAGTACATTACTTCCTCTTTATGGGAGGCTGTATTACGACAATACATGTTGTAAGACTTGCAAAGTGCTCAGGTATTGCAATCGTCAGGCAGACAGAATTTATTGACACCAGTTTATTTTTTAATTCTGTTCTTTCTTATCTGAGTCCCAGAGAGCTATTTAGGAATCAACAGTAGAGCTAAATTTAATAGCAATGTCCTCTTATAACTATTCAGCCGTATGGTTACCACTTAAACATTATTAAACGACTAAATGGAAAAAGTGAGAGATGATGCTCTAGTTCATACCACTTATTCTTTGATCCAAAGGGTCAAGCGTATAATACACTGACGATAACATTTACTATAAATAGAAGAACAACAAAACTCTCTTGGAAGATATCCAAGGCATTTAAGTGACTGTTTTGCTCACAAGTACTATACTAAAGAAAATAATCTATATCTCCCTTGCCTGCATTTTGTTCAGGGAAGGGAAGACACACGTACTTTGTCAAGGGTACTTGATCTAAATTAGGGCCCTGAACTCCCAACCTGATACCCAACCTTCACCTATATTTACACTTGCACTACAATTTGGCCCAACTGAAAGAAGCCAAAGGCATGACACCAAAGCTGAGCATGTCACACCATAAAAATAAAGGTATGGTCATGTATGGAATGACTAATATAGCATGCCTCATCAGGGGAGTTGTAGTATAGACAGGATTTTCACAGAACTGATGTGTCAAACTCACCAACCCCCACCCCAGGCCAGATTTGAACCCTGGGTCTCCTCACAGGCTGGATCCAGACTCTCATCCTCCGGCACAGAGGTAAGCAGTGACAGTGGTAGCCTCAGGGTAAGCAGTGTTAGGGAGCTGCAAGGGTTAATGTGGCTGTTGCTTGCCCCCTACTGCCAAAATGCATCCCCAGTTGTACTGTGTATCCCTGCCCTGCTTGCTCTGCCCCCAAATTCCCAGGCCCTTGAGCCCTGTGAAACAGATGACAACCTCTAGACCCTGCTGCAGAGCAACGTATTTTTGCAATTTTATTAATCAATAATGTATACTGGGACTCCCACCACTACTAACATCTGCTCAGGTATACTGGCAAGAATCTTTCATTATAGCAATATATGCTAGCACAGACAAGGCCACAGTCACTTTTCTGTTAATCAGAGAGGTTCAGAGGGAAAGTGTCAAGGATTAATCACTCCCTTTTGAGATCTAGCTCTTTACACCAAAGCCTACTGGAAAACATGTCTATAATTATAACGTAAAAAACTTCTAAGTTCACAGAGGGCAGCAGTACTTTTCATGGAAGGACTGCTGAAAGAAACTAACTAGATTCCACATAAAAAGCACTTCCACTTGCATACACTAAAAAGGAGGTGAGGATAAAAGACATTTAGTAGGAAAGGGAAAAACATAAAGGGGAGAAATGTCTAAAATGGAATAAAGGTAAAAGAACAGAAGGAAAACTGCTAAATGTAATGGAAATGAGAGAAAGGGGACCTAAGCTAAACTACAACAGACAGGAGAAAGAGGCAGGACAGGAAGAAACCAGTAAGCAAAAGGGAGAATATAGAGTGGAAGCAGAAAGATTGAGGAACAGATCTAAAAATGTACACTTTGGGCATGTCTACGCAAGACACGTTAATGCTCATTAGCCTAATTTAATGTGCATTACAGGTGTGCATCTACACGTATGCACCCTTAATGCATGCACAAAATTAAGCTAATCATGTCTAAATTTGATACCTGCAAATGCAGGTGTCAGATTTAGGCATGATTAGTTAAAGTGCATTAATGCACATGTAGATACAACCAAGCACTAACTGTAGTGTCAAGTCTACCCAGCCACTAGGGGCACACAGCAGAGCTGCAGGGACTTGGCACTAACTTCAAGGTCAAGTCTAATGGGTCTCATTAGAATCACTTCCTCATGAGATACAGACACCAGCTCAGAAAACAGTAGCTGCAGACACCATTGCTGTTTGGTGTTTCATACAGAAAGTTCTTCTTGCAGTTAGATAACCTAGGTCTCTCCATGGATTCCTAGAAAGCCAGGTGTTTAGAAAGCACAATACTAGCACTCCTTCTCTACACACTAGGTCTAACTAATTTCAGTAACAAAGGGTCCCTCTACTTGTGCAGGCAGCAGTACTTGGTGCAATGGGATCTAATGCATGATCCACACAGATGTGCCTCCTGCCATGCCACATGTGCAAAAAACCTTCTTACGTGCATTGCAGAAGGCATGACTGTGGGATTGCATGTTAGATCCCATCATGCCTTATTGCCCAATCCCAGGCTGCCCCTGCATGATCAAGAAGCAAGATTCTGCAGTTGGAAACCCCCTCAGTTAAGGGGCTTCCAGCTGTGGGAGTGCCCCTGAGAGACCCAGCTGCTCCAATCTGCATGAAGCCTACAGGGTTGAGAGATGGCAGCAGATGAATTCTCCGTGCCTTGAGTGTATGAAACTGGGGTGCTGCTGGAACCCAGAACCGGCAGCTGCTAGGACTGAAAATCCCCGCAGTTGCAAGACTCCCAGCTCCAGCTAGGCATGATGCACCCCTGCAGCTGGGAGCCCCTGTTGAAATACTTACATATTGAAATATTTACCTACTTATTTCAAACCCTCCCTCCTTTTTTATTTATTTTGACTGTATACTGGAAAGGGTTTAAGCCCAGAGAACTAAATTCTGTTGTACTAAATCCAGAGTAACTTGATTGCATTCAGCGTGAGTTAGCTTCTTATTACTGATATTATATTATCATTCTGTTCTGAACCTGAAGGTAGAATTCAGTAACATAGCTGAGGGAGGCATCCACTACAGCAGCCTTGGGTGCTGCCATTGTGGGAGAGTGCAAAAGAAGTTGCCACTGTGTACACCTGCAATCAACATGGCATGAGCCTATACTGCCCATGCTGCCCCAGGCATGAACCTGCCCTGCTACACCCCTAGAAGAATTTGACCCCCAAATGCACAGTATTTCTAAAACTCCAGAACACCAGCAGCTACATAAGAACTTGACAGCTGAGCCCCACCCCCCCTTAGAGATGTTGTATATTAAGTTTTAGATACAAAAGTTCCAAATTTTAAGATTGTCTTGAGCTTTTAGTTACCCTCATCACTTGGTTAAAAATTAAACCACAGAAAAATCCCATGCTTTTAGCTTTTCACTAGTACAACCATTATTAATTTGTGCAAAGCCTACCACCAAGCAGAACAGGCACAGTGTTAGGCCAGTAACAAGCTCTTATGAATGCCTCATTAAGAGAAATCAGGTACATGAAACAGAATACTCAAAAAAGTTTTCTAACTTTGAATACCTTTGGCACCTTGAACATGAATTATTTTAAAATGATGATTCCTTTACTGAGTGTAGGCATTTGTATATTTTTGTGAGCCTCAACCAGCATTCTTTCTGCACCGGTAAGCCAGTTGCTTGTCCCATTCCCTCATGCACACTGAAATCAGTGGGAATTTAAGATGTTCTTCAGTTTTTGAGACTAGATCCTAAAATCCCTACTGTACTTTCAGGAACTTAATAAGCACTGGTATCAATGCTGCTTCCATTGAAATCAGTGAGAGGTTGGAGAGCAGAAACAGTTCTAAGTCTTCAGATCTAGGACAGGCACCTTTAAAGAGTCAACACAAAACTGTAAGTCT